TCCGTCTCCGAGTATTGGTCGTAGCCGAGTAGGGTTTTACATGCAAAACAATGAGACCACATCGGCCTTTATGCCTACCTTGTGACCTGTCCAGATGTGAAATCCCGGTTTTCTGATGAATGAAAGATTCCGTGGGTATTTCATTTTCCGCGGACCAGCATAGTACTGGACAAGGGCCGATGCTATCTATACGTTTAGCCGCCAGCAGCTCATCTTTTTCAACCACCTCTGGACTAAACTCAACAGACATCCAAGGGTGTCCAAAGGTAACTTCGCAAAACAAACTACCGCAAAACTAACAGGATTCAACTACGGAAAAACAAGAAAGTGAAGATTAATGGGTGGGTGGATCTGGTCTGGGCTGTGATAGCCATAATCAATCGAGCAGCTTGATGCGAGACCGTGGCGCCTTACCGTTTGGAAAATTTCTGCCTGAGCTGGATGGTTCTGTCTGTCAAAAAACCAAACGTCTTTGCCGCCCCTCGCCGTTATTTACTCCCACTCTCTCTCAACACTCCTCTCTCCGCTGGCCAGCCAGTGTTGTCCTTCCCCGGAGGCGGCCGTCACAGGTCGCGATCGCGGAGAGCGGCACCGACCGGCGGCTGACCTTGGTGGGACACTTTCTTCGGCTGCGGTCAGCCGATCCTGCCCCGCTTGCCGCTGCCTGACGTCATTAGCGTGGGGCCTAGCTGCGGTCAGTTGGAGCACCGGCCGCGGTCAGGAGCGGGCGATAAGCCGCACAGATGGCTGGAAGCTCGCTCATGCCGACAGCAGAACCGGTCGGGGCTCTTGACACGTCGCGATGGCGGCAGAAGCAAAGGAGCTCAGGATAAGGCGCTGCGGGGCCTCGCACCAGGTGCGGGACATGGCGCTGTCGCGTGGCGACTGATCGCTTGCGATGCGGCATTGCTGCAGGATTTGGGAGGTGTCTCGCTTACTTCCCGTGCAAGCTCGCTTGTTTTTCGACATCGCACTGGCATGTTTCGGGGACCTGAAACGTGATCAATGCTGTCTATGTGAGAGTGGGGGAGCGGCTTCTGAGAAGGCTGGTACCGTCCGACCGGACGTGTTGGCTTAGCATCAGCGGAATTAAGTTGCGGTGGCTGAAATAGGCTTTCGTCAGATAAGTTTCTTGACATGCTGATGTCTTACAAGTTTGTAAGTCAAAGGGTCACAGGCTGCTAAGTTGGCGACATATGTGGAATGACAGGATATTGCCCGCTTTAAATGAGCAGCACCTTGCAGGCTGCCAACCCGCTGCGAGCCCGGTTGGCACTGTAGTATGGTGTTCTAACGGTCGGAAAAGGCATGGATATGGAAAATGTTGACAATTTCTGACTTTGACGCAAAAAGACAAGATATCGCTGTGTCAGTAAAAAAAGGCAGTGGCCAGAAATTGTTTGCATGGTTTAACTTCTATCGCCACAGCGCTAATTAGCGTGCTACAAAATGATTGTTTATACTTTTCTCGGGTGTCACGCTTCAAGCGACCTACAAAAACAAGCTGAACTCGGCAATTCACATTTCAGTGTCATGACTGAATGCCAAAGCGCGGCAAAGTCATGTAATGCATGCGCCGGGCGCTCTGCCGCTGCGTGCTCGCCCGGGCTCATGTGACCAGTGCGTGACCCGTTGCAGCGGACGCCACTAGTCTGCGTGCTCGCCCGGGCTCATGAGACCAGTGCGTGACCCGTTGCAGCGGACGCCACTAGTCTGCGTGCTCGCCCGGGCTCATGTGACCAGTGCGTGACCCGTTGCAGCGGACGCCACTAGTCTGCGTGCTCGCCCGGGCTCATGTGACCAGTGCGTGACCCGTTGCAGCGGACGCCACTAGTCTGCGTGCTCGCCCGGGCTCATGTGACCAGTGCGTGACCCGTTGCAGCGGACGCCACTAGTCTGCGGCGCGAGAAGCGCCAATCACAACGCACCAAGGATAAGGAGAACATCGAAGAGCTCTGCAAGGGTCGCGGCGATGAGTACTTCTCTCCGGCTCGATTGGACGGCGACTGCAAGGAGGTCCTACAGGTGAGTCGACAGACCGACCGCTACTGTCAACAGCACTGCCGGGCTGGGGGCTGGCCCTGATGTCAGTCTGGGTGTCTGGAGTGGAATCATGTGTCTGATGAGCGATGACTCGCGTACGGGATGTTTCGCTTCAGTGTCTCATGGCCTTTCTGGACGTTCAAGCGCGTGTCTGGATGTTTGTCCTGAGTGTCTGAGTCCCGCGTAGTCGTCCCCAAGGAGTGCACCAGGGCCGGCTTGAAGCGGATCCAGGTGGTCCCGATGGACTGGCATTCGACGTCCGCCAGCAGACCTGCCTCTGGAAGAGGCACGTCAAGACGTGCGACATCCTGGAGAGTAAGTCACAGCCCCTGGCCACAGCACGAGGCAGCGCTGGTTCCGGGGATGTCACTCCATTTGGGGCCGAGAATTTGACAGCGCAGTACGCTCAATGAGATATCGGATGCGTGGCCAGCGCGGACTCTCGGGGAAAACCACCACCCACAACGCTCATGGCACACCGATACTCCCCTTGATTGGAAATTCAGAACACCAGCGTACCGGAGGCAGATGTCCGCACCCGCCGGCGCTCCACCTGGCGGTGCCGCACATTACACTACGACGGTGGGCCGTCCGCAGAGCCGAAGAAGGTGCTGCCCAGCTGCTGGCCCCGGACGAGCCGCTCTGCCCCGAGGGGCCCAGCTGGCCTGCGGCAACGAGGACTGCATCGACAGGGATCTCTTCTGCGACGGTCCGACCAGACTGGTGTGGACGAGTCGGACGAGAACGCCTGCAGTAATTGACCTTCGGCACGGGCCGACACAGGGGGCTGACGGGGGGTCGTGGGTCGGAGAATCATGCTCGCCTAGGCAGCGCTAGTTTTGGGCAGGCACGCGCAACGACAACGTTTTTGACTTCACGATCTCTCAAGACAGCTCACAGCTCAGCAGCTCGTGAAATAAGCACACATGAATTGAGCTTAAAAACCTTGCCGTTCCTAGATGATGGTTATCCCCGTCATAGCTTTACTCGCGCCCCTCGCTGCCACTCTATGCTATTCAACATCACTATTTTCGCTAACCACGCTGTTCGCGTGCTTACGGGAGCTGCCGGTGCGCGTCCACAGCGGTCCGGCGTGGATCCGAACGGAGCCGGTGTCTGCGACCAGACCGACTGCGTGCTGCCCGACTGCTTCTGTTCGGGGCGGACGGCACCACAATCCCGGGAAATCTGAACCCCGACCAGACGCCGCAAATGATCACCATCACCTTCCACGGCTCTGTCAACGTCGACAACATCGGCATCTTCCAGGACATCTTCTTCCGCGACGATCGCCAGAACCCGAACGGCTGCTCGGCCAAGGGCACCTTCTACGTGTCGCACAAGTACACCACTACTCGGCCGTGCAGGAGCTGCACCGCAAGGGCCACGAAATTGGGCGTGTTTCTCCATCACCAACGAAGACGACCCCGACTACTGGTCGTATGGCAGCTACGAAACGTGGAGCGACGAGATGGCCGGCGCGCGCAATATCATCGAGGGTCTTCGCCAACATCACCGACGGCAACCATCTTGGGCGTGCGCGCGCCGCAGCTGCGCGTGGGCGGCAACACCCAGTTCGTGATGATGGAAGATCAGCAGTTCCTGTATGACTCGTCCATTACGGACGCCGCTGGGGCCGCGTTCCCATCTGGCCGTACACGCTCGACTACCGCATGCCGCACAAGTGCCTGGGCACCTCGCAGAACTGCCCATCGCAGACCAGCAGGATCTGGGAGATGGTCATCAACGAGCTGGACCTGCGCGAGGACAGGAACGTTGACGAGCGCCTGCCGGGCTGCCACCTGCTCTCCTCGTGCACCAGCATTCGGTCTGGCGAGCAGTTCGCCCAGATGCTGCGCAGCAACTTCGACCGCCACTACACACGACCAACCGTGCACCGCTCGGGCTGCACTTCACCGCCGGCTGGCTGAGCAGCAACAAGGACTTCAAGAAGGAGCTCAACAAGTTCATCGACGAGATGCAGGCCAAGAATGACGTCTATTTCGTCCTCAGCAGCAGGCGTTGAGCTGGATAAACAACCCGACCGAAAGCAACGGCATCCGTGACTTCCTGGAGTGGAAGGAGAAGTGCGACGTCAAGGGCCTGCCGTTCTGCTCGCTGCCCAACCCGTGCCCGCTGACCACCAGGTAAGAGGGCAGCTGGCGTCCCGCGGTCACCAGCTCCTCATCGTGGCCGAGGCTGCACGCCGGCTCCTCTTCTACTGCCCCCCTAATGTAGTGATATTCATCTGAGTACACGTTAGTGAATTTGAGGTCTGCCTGTCGACGTCTATTGGCTAAAAACCTGCTTCTCGTGCCCGCCGAAACGTTGCGCCTCGTCGGACATCCTTCATCAACGTGTGCCTAAAATGCGCAATGCACAAGGGTGCGGTTGGTGACTATCAAGGTTATGTTTTCCTGAAAGCTGACAGAGTCGCATTTTCGACTGAATTCTCGGGTGTTTTCGTTCGCAGGGGAGCTGCCCGGAGAGAACTTCTACCTGAACAGCTGCATGGAGTGCCCCAAGAACTACCCGTGGATCCAGGACCTCTCCGGAAACGGGTTCTCCCTGTAGAGCGGCGCCCTGCGCTTCTTCCGATGTCACGCAGCGCCGCCCGGCTGCGGGCAGGCGCCGGCTCGATCACTGGCAGCTGATGCCTTCGCCGTTGTTTGGGCTGTGAGCCGGATGGCTGTTGCGGCCGTGCCCGGTCCGGGTGAGCTGAGCACCCTGCACTTCGCCCGACTCAGTTATTTTGTTATTCGTCTGTATTCTATTGTGTAAAGTAAAACTGGGCGCGGAATTGTTTTTGTCAGTGAATTCCACAAAAAACCCAAAACCGAATTTATGCAAAATGCTGCATTTTTAAATTCGTGTGGGCTATTGTGACGAATAATCCACGGCTTTTCTTTCCGCAAGCTAATCGGAAAAAGGAAGGAAGCTAATCGGATTCACGTGTTATCTCAATCGCGATGCATACTGTTCATCTTTTGTTTAGATAAAGCCCATCCCTACAGTTCTTCCAACAAATGATCCCCTCGAGCATCAGTTGACCTCCTCTCCGAACAAATGTGAACTCTAGTCAAACCGCAGCAAACGAACGCCGTTCGCCATCCGTCGGTTAAAACGCGCCCTGCGAGCGTCGTTCGGCCCGGGTCCCTGTGAGCACGCCATCCATGCGACACCTACTGGAGGCGGCGGGCCCGGGCACCACGCGCTCGACAACGGTGCCGCTACACCACCTCGCTGTACCTTGACCGAAAGGCTGACCCCTCCCGCCGTGTGAAACCCCTCCCCTCCCACGCGCCAGGCGAGGGGCGAGCCCTGTCACGTGACGTCCGCCAGGCAAGAGCCGCATTGTTGCAAACGATCGCCATGTTCTGTTCACGGGTGCCTGCCGCCAAATACAAAGAAAGATTGACGTGGAATTTCCTTACGGGCGATGAGGGTGACCAGTTTGGACGAGCCTGACTCACTTGCTCGTGGCTCCGCACTGTGGGTGAAGTGCATGGTCGACCCACGAGACAGGACAGTGGTCTGTTTGTACCCCGTTCGCGTACTGATATGGAAAAATGACGTTTTTTATTCGCGCACCCAAGATGCATAGCGAAATCCAGACTATCTTCGACTTCTCCCGAGTGATTCTTTGCCAAAGCATTTGAAAAGACATCTCGTGGGACATCTGAGGATGTCATGACTGTTAATTCGGGCTGTTCCTGAGTTGATTCGTGGTTGATTTAGCCTGACTCGGTGTTCTAAATGCTTCCCCGCAATACCGATGTCTTCGCATGTGGAGACGGCACCCAACCGATCCAGACGGACAAACACGAGAAGGACGACAAGAGGAGAAAGGAATTGTATGGGAAGAACGGGCGTGAAACGTTGCGACTTTCTCCACATGTAACCCAAACTGATCATAATGGGTCCAACGCCCCTCCCA